AGTTGTATGTCAATACTCTTTTCTTAGTCAGATGTGTTGCTGACTTATCATCTGGTAGATTTTCTGTTTGTAATTATTCTATATGAGCGTGAGCCAATCTTCTGTAGCTTGAATGATTACTGCTACTATTTTTTCATGTCCTTGTTTGTGTAGATTGTTCATATCAATCTGTGAGAGAACCCGATGTCCTTGTATCAGTATATCAATGAAATCTTCTTGCGGACATGCGAATTCTTTGGCGAGCTAGCTAAAGCATCTGCAAGAACATTCTCTCCTCCTGAATCCTATAGATTGTCACATTAGGAATCTGCTCCAATAAATTTATCGTATAGCTAAAATACTGTTAAAATCTGGGTTTTAGAATTTTGTATCTTCCAGCAATTTGATAGATCAACTCGGGGTCACCATAAATGTTGATATTCGTTATCCCCAATAAGATTGTTAACTGCAATCTAGTATCAAAGCTTCATATTTTACCTCGTTTGTACATGGCTTTGTTAAGTGGTAATAATATTTTAACATTCCCTACTCTAGTGTAATGAAAACGAAACCGATCCCTACCTTACTGGGTAGTAGTATTGTTTGCTATTGTCTTTTTGTGCTGACGAGGTTCCATTAAAGGACATCTTCCAACGTTGAGAATTGGGGTCTTTTAGGTTCATTATATGCTCTTCTGACAAGCCATCATTGATAGGAGACTTGACCAATAACATGTGCGCCGCGGGAAATCCCATCAAGATTTGCTCTTTCACTACACGTAGAGAAACAGAAGTTATATCAATTGCAAAAATATTATCGATCACCTAGCTAACCAAGTGTTAGTCGAGTTATCAAGTATTGCAATGAATTAAACCTCGAGATAAGGTTTACCTTATGAGAAAACATGTGTTGTCTAAGCTTTTGAGTAGAAAAAATTGAAGCCTCACAATGTTTCTGAATAGAATGATATTTTACCTTCGTTGGTATTAGACAGAGACTTAATAATAGAGTGTGATTTTATTTCCCTTATTATCGACCTAAGCTAATAGGGCTCAGAGGGAGTAGTACAAAGTCACAACATAAAGTATAAACGGTCTACTCTAGACTGAGGTTGTTAGTACAAGAGGTGTTGTGAAATACTGTTTATTACTTTCCAAAGCATGTTGATATTTATCTTAAGTAAATTTGACATCTTTCTTTGTCAACACAGTAAAAGGTTGATACCTACTTTACAGGTTAGAAATAAAGCTTCTAGGTCATTTTCACTTGAAAAAATTGTAATTGCGTTAAGGTCTTAAGGGGTGGCATTTCTAAGATGATTTTAATTTTCTGTGGATAAATTTCAATTCTACGGTGACAGACAACAATTCCTAAAAATTTTTTAGATGTGACATTTAAGGTGCATTTTATGTGATTCATTTTAAAGATTAAATTGTCGCAACTGTTCAAAGGCAATTCTAAAATCATACAGGTGATTGTTCTTTTGTCTGCTCTTAACCATTATGTCATTCACATAGGACTCAACCTAGTTGTGGATAAGTTTATCGAAAGTACTTGTCGTTGCCCGCTGGTTGGTCGCACCAACTTTTTTTAATCCTAAGGGCATTACTTTTGTAACAGTATATACTGATTGACATTATGAAAACTTTAAATTTCTTATCTTCTGGCGTCATTTTGATCTGGTTATATCCTAACAATTTGTTCTTGAAAGAAAATTGTGTGCGACGACACAATGTCCACTATCAACTCTGAAATTAACAGCAGGAACTTGTTTTTCGGGCATGTTTATTTAAATCTCTAAAGTCAACGAAAACTCGGATCTGACCATTCTTTTTTTTTACTGGGACTATATTGACAACCATGTTAGATACTTGCTCTTCTTGGACTAAACTGGTGTCAATTAGTTTCTTCACTTCAACTATAACTTGTTTTTATTTCTAGATGTATTCTTGTGGGAGCTTGCTTGATTGGAGTTACAGTTTGGTCTAGTCCCAACTTATCAACTGCAACTTGTGCTAGTCCATGCATCTCGTCGTACTTCCATACAAAACAATTTTTGTACTCTAAGAATAATTTGATTATGTGAAGTAAGCGACATCCTCGTGAATCCTCACTTCTTGTATTGATAATTGTTGTAAGTCTTTTTTTTATATAGTACTCTTGTCCTTCATAGCAATTTTTTATACATTAGTGTAAAGACGAAGGAACCATCCTATGCTCATGAATCCATGGCCAACCTAGAAGACGTCGCAAAATTGATGATATGGAATATTGCAGTCATTACTAAGTCATCGATCTTCAACAATAACAACGTGATTGATCTGAGTGCTCTCTCTACTTTCTAGTTAAAGCATCATAACATCATTTTATTCGTTGTTTGCGGGCATCAATGTTCAAATACGCCAACATTCGTAAGTTCATTATATTGATTGAGGCACCGCGATCCATTAGTACTCTGGAGAGCATGAATTTGTCAATGCCGACGAAAATATATAGAGGATGGTTGTGGTCAACAGTATCGAGCAACAATTCTTCGTCTGTAAAGGTTACATTTGACTGTTGCTTCAACGAACATATCTCATCTAAGGAAGTACCATCAATATGAGCCAAACAGATCTCAAAATCAAGTAATGCTTTAACCAATGCTTCCCTAATTTTGTTTGACAGGATCAGAACATCGTAAATGCTCAACTTAGTAGGTATCTTCCTAAGATAGGCTAGAATTGTTCAGTTCTCCAGTTTATTCTCGAACAGGTGTTTCGTGTACCGACGGAATAGCCTTCCCTTGAGTAACCACTTGTTTTGCTTCGTCCTTTGGAGTCATTCTTGGAGGTAGCACTTTTCCATTTCTTAAGTTCACTTTCGTTATCTCCTCCAATTCTTGAACTATCTGATGGTGTCTCTTCTGGAGTATCAATTGGCTTTTCCCCAAGTACCTTCAAATTTGAGAATTCCAACTCTATCACGATTGGTGTTCTCTGAAATTCGAAGTCAGATGCATAATTATTTGAATTGTGATAGTTGTTATAGTCGTTATTTTCTCCTTTATTGTCGTTGGACTTATCATGATTTTGTATGATTTGAGAATTGTTGTTAGAATTGAAATTAAGATCTGAGTTAAATTAGTTGTTATCAGGTATGTCGTCATTAGAGACAGGTGAAACGTAGCTGAAATCCAGACTTTTCGCATCATATGACCCTGGAGAGACAAATAATCATACAGAATCAAGGGATTGAGGGATTCCTCTCCAAATCCCGCAACAACCAATCTAGGATAAGCATCCCCTATTCTACTCTTCGAGCCTTCAATCTTCTTCTTCTCGATGATCTTCGTCTTTTGTTGGAGTATATCCTCTTCTATTGTAATTGATACTGCCGGCTTGGTAGGTTTCAGAATTTGAATGGAAGCTTACACCGAAGTAGTTTGAATCTTGTTCAAGATCTTCGAAGATTTCTTGCATGCTGTGTTCCACCCATCACTGGCTTCATAAGGATCGATCGGAACAATGGTGAAAAGAAGCAAGTGCTAAACTAAATCATGAAATTTGACATAGTATTTTAATTTTGAGCTAGTGTTTAGCGCACAGTGGTATGAACTGTTGTGTTGAAGTGCGTGAAATACAGGCTTTGCTATGACCTTGTGCTTCAAGGCAAATGACGCATAAGGCCAACACAGCTCCTTACTTTATTCTTGATGTGCATTTAGAAGCGCGCTTTTGGAAACTTTGATTTCGACCTATATTTAAACTCTACAAATAATATCATTATATGTCCTTGATATTTAAACTTATCACATTTAGCCATCACTTTATTTTCTAATAATGTGAACTATTAATGTGACATCAACTTAGGGTCATAAGTGAATGCTATTAATGAACAACTTAATAATTGTTCATGAAAGGCCCGTTTAATCAATTTAATGAATAACCAGGAATGAATTTTAGCCTTAACATATAAATGAACATATTTGAATATTAAATAGTTCATTCATTTATGTTTGTGAATATATTAATATTTGTGCGACAAGTAGCTTGCTAAGAGCTCAATAAAATCCTCATTTTATTGTTGATGCTATTTACAGTTTAAATTATGTTTTATTGCACTTTAAAGGTTATTTATTGCTTTATAAGTGTAAGTTATGAAAATATTGTGTAAATTGTTGAATGGATAGGTCTCAAATCTAATTTTATTATTCACTAAACACTAGAAAAACTACTGAGAATTGTTTTTAGTGATATATCTCAATCATGAGTACCCTAGATAGATTTTGATAAGCTCGAATAAAAGCTCAAGTACTATTGAATTCAATGAGCTAATTTATAAACAAGTTTGAACACGATTTAGTATTTAGCTCAACGTGTTCATTTACAGCCATATATCCTTCAAAATTATACCGCATATTTTCACACATGTGGTTAATGTGATACTTGTCATTCATTTTATGCGTCAGTAACGAGTTTTAGTTGACTCCACTTTGTATCCAAGAATATTTCCTCTAAGAAAACTGAAACACAAACCGCTTGTCAAATCTTGCTCACTTATTTTACACCCACGGATGATTGATACGTCAGTATTACATGTGCTACCTGTGACCATTTCATTCATCAGTAATGCGCATTAGAGGATACCAATGTGTATCCGTGAAGTATATTCCCCCAAAGATATAAATTTGAGAAATAAAGATTGCTTGGCAAATCTTAAAAGACAATGTTATTTCCACACCCATTTAAGACATTTGTGCCCCCCTTTGTAGGAGCATGACATGAGTCCTCGTTTTCATATGCACTCCTTGAAGCTGAACCCAATGAACTTTGTGTAACTGTGGGTTCGCTTGGACTAGTGATGCTGCTCTTCAAAGAATGGCAGCTTATTTCTAGTCAACAATCTACCCAAGTCTTGATTTTAACTCTTAGATTTTAAAAGCATTCTGTCAAAATCTTGCATATGAAGCTAAATGTAGACATGTGGTCATGGTATCTAAATTATACTTTTTATTTTAATATTTTTCATTTTGTCTGCAGGATGAACATTTAACTCCTGGCCAGAAAATTTTGACCCGGCAATCCGCAAGTAAAAGCAGGAGGAAGCGTTTTGATTGAATCTGTGTAATAGTACGTCGCAGCTTTTACCTATGTGTTTTTCTTGGCAACATGACATATGTATTGTCTAATTAACTTGTGGACATTACTAAAGCAGAGTGGTTGGGGGTCTGAAAGTATTGTGTCCCTTAGGTGAACCGTGTTAATGTCAGTGATATTCATTCATAAAATTCCAGTGTGTTATTTCATCTTGAAGCCATTGAATGTTTATAACTACTCTTGCCTGAGTTTTCAACCTCAGTAACAAAAAGATTAATTATTTAAGTAGAAGATATATAGGCATACTATCTCATATTTTTTCTGAGTTTCAAACTGTTCATGTATTTAATTTGTTGACCTCTTTTCCACTTCAATCTTGGTCAAGGGTGTGCTCTGACTCGGTTCAATCACTTTGATTAGTGGTCTCCGAAAGGACTGCATCTACGCTCCTGGGCATGTTTGCTATTTGATGGTTCATTGGATGCGCCAAGAGAACATTTGTTTTGTCCAAGCAATTCTAGGCTTCATGTGCCCGCATAAAGGACTTTGCATGGCCACATAAAGAACTATAAGTAAGTTACTCTTTAAGTTCATCTTTAAGTCGACATTTTTTAAGGTTGCAAGGCTGGTGTTTGAGCGTCTCTGCCTTTAGGAATTGTGAGTCTCATTCCTAGGCTTCTCTACCTATATAATCTTTACGTTTTGCTGCATGTGTAATCCAACCTTTGTGTTTCTTTTAACTTAAGGTTTGCAAGTCTCAATCTTTTGGCCTCTCTACCTTCATTATTTTAAGTTCAATCTTGAAAGTATCAATGTTTGACCCAACACTAAAATCCGACTCGCACTCCGATGCAAAAAGTCGGATTTAAATCAACTTGTGTAAGATTTAGATTGGGTTTGAGTCGCAGCTTAAGTGACTAAGAAACCTAAAAGTCAGTTTTTAGTCAACCCAAAAATAATAACTTAATTATTTTTTTTCTTTTTTAAAAATATGAAATTATATAATTTTGTTATTTTTTAAGTTGTTGCATCCAATCAGATACACAAACAACAACAACAACAATTCTTTATCACGCTACGTGGGGTTGACTACATGGATCATTTTTCTCCGTTGCGTCGTGTTGAGTGTCATTGCATCTGAATCAGAAAAGCAGTTTAATTTTGAATTTGATTGGCCCTAAGTTGTTACAATTTGGAAGTTTGTCATGTTGCGCTGAGTCAGATTTAGGTTTAGGTGCGTGGGATTCGAGCTGATGTTGTTGATTCGTTTAATAAACTGGTCTAGTTTTTGGTACAATATTTATGTTGCGTCTTTTTTGGGTTTGGAATGAAAGTCGACCTTTGAATATGAATCGACACCCTTACTCTCGTCGTCATGCATTCCTCATAATTATGGTTGTAAGCCCAACATTTGGATTTATGTAATCCTATAAATACTTCATTTCCTATACTACGTAGTTTAATCACCTCATGAGCAAGGGACCAACTGCAAAAGACGATGTATGTCAAATGCTCAATACGAAGAATGACTATAAAGAGTGTCCTGCAGTCTGTATCAAGGTGAGGCAAACAATCATTCTTAGTTAAATGAATTGGATATGTTATGTCTTTGCGCGGTAGTCAGTCATGCTTAGCTCCTTTGAACTACAATCGGCCATGTTTTGTGCCTGCAGACCAATTTCCATATAAATTTGTCATGCCAGGCCAAATGAATTATCATGAGTTACATCCAACACCTATGAGCCAATGTAGGATATAATGAACTCCAGGAACTTAATCAGTGAGAAAATTAGATCATTCAGAAAAAAATAGATCATTCAAAATTAAATTTAACGGAACTATAGGAAATCTTTTGTAATTTAAGAACATCTGCGTCTAAAATCTTACTGTAAATCTTCCGAAAATTGCAGAAGAGCAAAGGGAAACTAGTTGGAGGCTTGGAGCTCTCTGTTTTCATAAATCTCAAACCTTGTTTTGGGGTCTGAGAGCCAAACAACCAAAACTTGCATTTGCAGGTTCCTGCGATAGAATCTGATTAAGGTTATAATTGGCTTCTTTGCAGCCATAGTTCCTAAAACTCTCTTATACAGCACTCACTGGCTTCACCATCTAGAAACCTCAACCCTTTTGGAACTCCTTACCCAAGATTTAGATTAGTTCCTCTCATCCAAATCTGGAGGAAATAGCAAATGATTCAGGCCATGCTATTGAATTCGACGATGAGGCTTAGGTGTTTTCGACGATGAGGCTTCCAGTTTCCGCCTTGCTCAGCAGGTATTTGGTTTACAGGGCACCAATGGAGTCCATTTTCTGATGAGGTTTTGCTTCCAGCTATGAATACACCTATTCTGAAGTTGAAGAAGAGTATAAAACTACTGCGGCTTGAAAAGTTTTCACCTCATTTCTGGTGAAGAGAAGACAAAGGCGTTTCAGTGGAGAAAATATTGCGTTCAGTTAATCGACATGACACAGCGGAAGTTTGAGTTCCCGCTCTCCCGTTGTATCACGTCTATTATCCGGACGCAATATGTTTTCATTTCAAGGAGAGGATGGTTCTGCCATCATGGTTGCTCTGTTATAATGATTGTTTGCATCAAAGCAAGCACTCCAGTGCCTTCACTATGGGTGCAAAATGAATGCTAAAGGAAAACAAATATTTAAATTTTTATTGGCGAAAATCATTATTTTGAGAGTTATTTCAAATACTTTTTTCTTTAGAAAATAATAACCTTTTAAATGAATAATAATTACTTTTCGTGCATATTATATTTTTTATTTTACTAGAAGTGATTAACAACTTTTATGGAGCGGAGGATTTATTTATAAAACATTCAAAATATTAAGATTTATGTATTTAACATTTAAGTTTAGCTATTTTACATCATGTAACATTGAGTTAATGAAGTTAATGAATCACATATTCGAGCCCGTCTGATTGCATTCGTCTTGCAGTGTGAGATCGAGTGTTAGGCACATGAAAGTGACCCAAGTGTTAGGCACAGTGTCTTAAGTCTTACTCATTAGACTATGCGGTTGATCGACGATTTTTTTTTAATATATATATATATATATATATATTAAAAAAAATAAAAGTGATGTGAAATGAAAACCCATATTTTTTATTGGGCTAAATAAATTTTGATCATAAACAATAAAAAAGAACATTATTACACGGTGAATTTATTACTGCAGCAGCTTTCTAACTTCACATCACTCAAATTTTCTTTTTACAGGCCGGACATCATTTGATATTTTATAATTCATCTCGCAATTTATGTCAACTTATCACCTGTCTATCTCCTATACATATTATACCAATTTTCAATTAAATTTGAATTATTTTTATTCCCATGTAATATTTAAAATAGTTTTTGAAATCTATTTGTCCAAATGAAAATATAATATATAAAATATTAATTCAACCTAATGAAGTTCATATTTTGTTCAAAATTTTCAATTTTAATTAAAAAAAAGAAAACATCAGCTATTTTTTACTATTTTTATTACACATAATAAAAAAAAAGAACCCATTTATGACATTGCGTGTAAAGTACCTAATCGGGCTCGCATGCGAACGGTAAATCAGTAAATCCTAAAGTTCCAAAGCCCATCAATGTCGACAGAGCATCTCTCTCGGTCTTCGCGCAGTGACGTGGCATCCTCGATTAGCCCAATAGGCTTAAAGTCAACTAAAAAGCGGCCCATCTGAGCCCGCGTGCCAGCCCGATAAAGCTAAAAACCCCCTCCGCTTTCACCGTCATCCCATCCCCATGCAAATTATTATTTTTTTTCTTTTTTGAGAAATTAACTGCGCCTCCTCTCATTGGAAAATAAATAATTATTACGTCAAAATGAGGCCCGCAGATTACTACTTTCTCCGTGGCCCATCACGTGACCCCACAACGTGCCGTCACCATCGCCGTCAGACCGCCTCGGGTTTCCCTTCCCCACTTCCCCGCATCGAGTCTCACGTGCAACGCACACGCGCGCAATCCCGCACGAACCGGCCGGCCTTTATTTTCGAAGCATTTACATGCATACCACGTTAGTGCAACACATTTACAAATCTAACACCTAAAATTTAATTTTTTTTCGTTTCATACCACCCAAAGCTTTAAATAATAGTACATGTATCCATAACAATTGAAGTTTAGGTGTTAGATGTGTAAATACTTAAAAGAGTTGTGTGGGATGCATGTGAATTTTCCTTTATTTTTAGTTATTTGTTTTCCTTTTTTTGAAAAATAGTATAGTCGTATAATAAAAATAATTATGGAATTTATTTATGGATTAAAAATTAATTTTTTTTTACTTTTAAATTTTGTAAAGGTCTTGTCATCATCTTTCTCAGCATCCAAGGACATAAATCCTCAACTACCATTCTATAAATGGAATTAATAGTATATAGCTATGTCAATGGCAGCTATTGAAATTATTCGAAAAAAAATTGCTTAAATTGTTGTCATAGTTTTTTTGTTTTGGGCATTTACATGCATACCTCCAATTCCTATATGCTTACATATATAACATTTAAACTTTTACTTTTTATATTTATAAATTATACCATCAAAATCTTTCATATAAGCTCCTAAAGGCATCCATATTATTTCCCTCACTGCCCAAGTAGCCTTGCTTCAGGACATCACATACTGAACCCCTTTCCTCTATGAATAGAAGATCATTCCATGAATAAAGGGTTACATATTCCAACATTTTTATTGTTCATTCTTTTACAGTGTCTTCTCTCTCTGTCTCTTCTTCACTCTCTTGTCTTATGCTCAATTCTTTGGGTGTTAATCACGAACAATCTCAGATTCTACACATGAAATAACACTACTATATCTCTCATTAACAACAAGTGAAGAATCAAATAGGCTAATAGCATATTTTCAATATAGGAAGTAAGTGGAGAATGTGTGATATATAAAAGGAGAGCATGTCTTATAATAATAGACAGGAAATACTTCCACCCAAGCCATTATATAGAGGTAGCAACCTATATATCTTAGTTATTATAAGAATGTCAACTTTGTTAGTGGACCCTTTGTATAAGAGATTCATGCTAGTCATGTTCAAAAGCCTTGAGTTGAAAATACATTCATTGAAGTCATATATTTGTTATAGGGATTAAAATCTTCTCCATTTTTGTTTCTTATATTAAGTACAATGAAAGTCGCTAATAAGAAGTCAGCTTGAGAAAACAATATGA